CGATGAACCACATTAATTTTATATCAACTATATGGTATTTTCTTGATCATTAATTTTTACTATTTCTTTTGGGTTTTGGTTTTTCTCTCCCTTCCCGATAAGTGTTATCAGACTCCAAAAAATTTGATAATTAAAAATTCAATAAGGATGTAGTCGATTGTTATTACTAGTTTTATTGCGCAAAAATTGATAAAAGAAACAATTTCATCATATGAGCAATGAAGATTAAGAGGAACTTAAGGCAAAGTTTATGAGCACTATTGATCTTTATTTTTTTTTAATAATTAATAATATTATTGATGATGATTTTGTCATAGTTATTTAGGATAAATTAGAAAAACTCTAAAGGCTTAACTAACAAGTTATATATAAAACGAAAATTATATAGATCGAGGATAGAAGAAGAAATGACTTGATAAAACATTTGAGCATATTCAAAAGAATATTGAATCAACTGAAGAAAACTGATGTGAATATTGATGAAGAAAATAAGCATAATTATTATTTTTATATTCGTTGTCGACTATTATGACAACTTTATGAGGATGATACTATATGGATAGGATAGGATGACTTTGGAACAAGGTAAGGAAACCTTAGTATCAAATGCTACTAACAACATGAAGAATAGTTATGCAATCCTAGATTTGACATAGGCTAATGGAAGTTACGTTTGAACTCCACACCCCCGTTATTATATGAACCACAAAATGATCAGGTATAACGATCCCAAATGCCTACTATAGAAGGGGGTGTATAAGTATGTACAACTGAATAACCTAAATATGACCTATTCAACTTATCAACTAACTTAAGCTTTGGAGGATTATTGTCGATAAGGAGTTCATCTTAAAATCAACTCTTAAAAAAAAACCAGACTATATCCGAATCAAATATGTCCTAAGAATTGCTATATTCAATTTTGATGCTTTTGGTTGTGTGGTACAATATAATATGAAGCTCAATGATGGTGAACACCAGTTATTAAATAAAATTTCTACCTAAACTGTCCCGGAATATCACTTTCTCTCTGAAATTATACGTTAAAGAGAAAAGAATACGTTTGAGGAAAAAAAAAACATAGAACCACATCAAGGAAATATACTATATTACGAGATTTCTCGGAGCAATTTCCCCCTAATACAGTACGCCGATTCTATTTAACATTACTACGTGCTTTGCTGACGCATTAAAGTTTTGATGTCTCTGTTCTTGGAATCAAATGTCATTCATCAAACAAGGGTTGACCATAAGGGATCTATGTATAATTTTATCATATATGTGTATTAATTTGAATTATGAAATCCTCCTCTTGATGATACCTTGCAAACTGGTGAAACTATATATACAATGCCAATGAATTTGAAATCTGAGATGCTCTTAATACCTCGAATATGGTGACACATATGGATTTTAAAGGATGCGTACCGACACGAATCATGTCCCCGAAATTGACTTTGGAGAATAAAAAGAAAGAAAAAACAAAAGGAATATTCCGTTTCCTCCAAAACGAGCCGTGTACGCACCGCCACGACACTATTATTAACCCATTTTGGACCGCATAAGCCAATCGGCTCCAAATCAGAGCACACTTCTCACTTGCCATCCCACCGCGTTCGCTCTCGGATCATCGTACGACAGTGCATGTGCGCGCACATGCCCCGCGGGCGCTGTCATGTACTTTGAGACGATAAGATTAAGCGGGTGACGATAGAGCAGTGCACAAAGAAACTTCATCTCATATCGGAGTTGCCAGATATATGGCGTTGGAGTCATCTGTTGTTTCCCTTCCTTGAATCATTGATAACACAACAAAAGCTATGGGGGCCAAACAGCTCATTCATGGCACACATCGTGAACCTGTACCACTAAGTTCTGGATGAGTACGCGGTGCACCTAACGCTCATCCATGCACGCTCGCGTCCCTGTCGTTGCCTCCTTCAAAATTAAGACGTAGGCCATTGTGATTGGAACGGATTAAGGCAGAAAACTAGATGTATGATTCGAATCATTGAAATTTACATTTGGATAAAGTAGAATTATTCGAAATATGTTTGGGAAGGTGTAAATTCCCGAGCACTTGATGTGCGTGAAGTGAGGGATTCCTGTCATGGTGGTGTGGTGGCGTCATGCAATGGTGGCGCAGATTGCGGAGCCGACGACGCTCGGTGGCTGAAGGCCTTCTTCAGCTACTGCAGCGAGCTTGTTCGTTCGATTTGATTGGTGTCGGTGAAATAGTGGTGTCTGTTTCAGATCATTGGTCCTCCACAATCAAAGCATTAATTGAAGTACATAAGGAAGAACTATGTTTTGGCATTTGAAATGGTGAAGTTTGCCCATTCGGCCTCAACACATATCATGAAGTAATATTTTGCGGGGTAGGTCGTCGGTCCAATCTCCACCAGCCAACTGTAGCATTGACCTTCTAATGCTGTAGAGCGAGAGGAGGGAGCTTTTGAGATGCATGCCATCACATCCTTATTTTTGATGGTGCAGAGACTTGGAGAGACGAGAGACTTCTTGGGCACATCCTTCTTTCTCTCGATGTCTTTGCCTTGGTCATGATGAATTTACAGAGCAGGAGAAGACAGCTTTTGGAGTTGGAGCTACCGGTTACTTTTTAATGGAGAGGAAAGGTTCAATCCCTGAGGAGTTGGATTTACACTGTAGTTTTCCTTGCCAATGAAGCATTGAACAGATGTTGCTCGTATATGTGCTGTGTTCAGCCATGGTGACATATGCCAGGTGTACAGTGGCCTAGGTAGTAAAGGAAGATGATGATGAAGCCTCCACGATACTGCTACTCTTTTTTCCTTCATTTTTGGGAAAAGTCTTCGCAGTACTACTGGTTTCATTATCCTCAATTTAAATTTCATTCGATCAATCCAGAATTTATGGGTTCTGTTGATCATCATACTAATACAACTTTTGGAGTTCAGCAGCCTCATACAATCAGCTCACTTTGTCATCTCCAGCTTTGATATCATTATATCAGTGCTTCTTATTCTTACATATCAATTTCTCTGATCTATGTGGAAATGGAGGCTAAAATCTACATTGTTGTAACTTCTGAAGATTGCATCTGCAATTGCTTTCATGCACCTATCATGAAGCTAGGAACATTCTGCCCACTGAAATCATGCATGCAGTAACTTGATAGCCAGAGGAAATCTCTCTTACCTCGGTTCTCTGTTCACTTGCTTGTGTCATCAGTTATCTTGGAGATGCATTGAATCTTACAACAGGCTGGCTAAATTTATTCCACTCACAGAGAAATCAAGATAGCATCTTGAATGACTAGATATCAGAAAAGGGACCATAGTAGCGCTGATACGTACTCGTAGAGTGGAAATGGAAGCAATCCAAGCACTGGTTTGTGGAGGTGGACATGAGATGATAAGGATTCTGATCACAATCAGCACTCCTTTGCAGTGCAGATTACCAAGAAAGTTGCTCTGAACTTTAAACGAGCAAATTGCTGCAACATGACGGTTCTTCTCATGGATCTTGGACTTCCACATCTCAGAGACAAGCAGAACTTCAGGTATTTGGCACAGATCATGGTAGGCTCGACCACTTCATTCCCGAGTCATAGGAGGAGAAACACTCCTTTTGCTCTAGTTTCGATGCCCCAGGGGACCCTGTTTGCACTGCATGAGCAACCGCATGAACGTATCAGCGCCATGCCACTGCTAAACTAGCTGTGTACTCTTGTGACTTGTCTGATGAGAAGAGCATCTGCAGTATACCCTCGTCATGCTGCTTCTTAGCCCTGGGAATCTTCAGTGGTGCCTCTCCTGTGTTTTTAATTGGTCTGCAACTTGACAGAAGCACTCTCTCGGATCTTAGACAATGTCGAACAGGCAAGGTGCATGGCATCAACTTGCAGTCGGCCAGGATCAACATGGTCCTAACTCCACTCCTGTGGCAACTTGCTAAAAGTTATGCTGAGGAATCTTGGCATGTGGACGATGAACCAAAGCAGTTTTCATCTCAAAAGATACCCTAAAATATTTAACAGTGGAAACAAATCTGGCGGACTAACAATATCGGTGCAATCCTGCTTCGAACTCTTACTATTGTGTTTTCCTGCTCTTGCACCATTGGAGGAAGACAACACCTCAGATTATACTTGATGTCATCGTCATATGTTCTCATAGTTGCCGGAAAGCTAGGAAGATCAAAACTCTATTGATCTTTATGGACGCAAAAAGTCGAGATCAGATCTGTAAGTTCTCCACAATACAAACAGATTTTGATGAGAGAGTTGGTATGTAAAACAAAGCATATTGGTCACTCCGCCAAAAAAAGGAATCATTTTATGACCTGAGATCTTAATCTCGTTCCTTTCCATTTCGAAGCTATCTCCCAAGATTCGCTACTGAACTTGAACCGATAGACAATTTGATATCACCTTGGCAAGCTTTCAGAAAGATCAAGAACAGCCACCTGATCAGCAATTGTATGACATGCATGCCATGGAACGCTTGCGAGCTCCTCATCTTTCTAAAGCAACTTGGTAGAGACTGCGAACACAGAGGGGAATCCAGTGGAGAAGGGAATCTCTTCGCAGTAAAATAAAGGCTTGCAGGCCACATGACCTCGTCCCTTGGCCCGGGAACGAGGGAGACAGATAAGGTCGATTAGATACAGCAGAGCGCCGAGGCCTTCTCTAAACGGAAAGCAACAGCTGGGTTTCATTCAGTTCCCTGTTCTTTTTGTACAGTAGTAGCATCTTTATTGTGATCTTATTCTTATCACAGATCACGAACATGAAGAGGCACAGATGCAGATGCTGTACTGTCCTTTCTCATGAAAAGAAACAAAAATTTATGATAATAACAGCCTTTGTTTCCGTCCTAATTAGGCAGTCTTGTGATGAACTCCATGCAATTTGCATTCAGTTTGTCAAGATGATTACAGAGAAAGAAAGAGGAGAGAACTGTTCGAAGGAAGAAAGCTGAGAGACAGATGAAAAGAACATATCCTTTCTACTCCAAAGAAGTGGGTTGTGATTCTCCCACTTCCCCGTACACAATCTTTATATATTCTTTTCACGGTCTTTGTGGCTGTGAGAGGTCCGAGGCATCCATTATCCTGCCCTTCCTAGTCCTTAAAAAGGAGACCCAACGTAACCCCACATGCAAAGCCTACTCCCTTCCGGCTCATAAGAAGCCACGCCCGGGCAGAGGCCTTCCCCATAGGGATCAGCTCGAGCAAGAGCTCAGACAGAGTCTTCACTCCCCCCCCCACTCCCTGAGATGGCATCGGGTTGGACCGCGAAGGAGAACAAGACGTTCGAGCGGGCCCTCGCAGTGTACGACAAGGACACCCCCGACCGCTGGCACAATATCGCCCGGGCCGTCGGCGGGAAGACGGCGGAGGAAGTGAAGCGCCACTACGATCTGCTCGTGGAGGACATTCGCCGCATCGAGGCTGGCCAAATGCCGTACGTCCATTACAAGTCCCCCGGCAGCAGAGGTATACATATATATATATTGCCATCAAACTGTTCCTTTGAGATTTCTGTGCTCAGCCATTGCACTCTACTAGCGCCTCCTTGTTTAATCTGGCCAAACAGTTCCAAAAATATCTGAGTTCCTACTCTGCAGAGCTTAGTTTTGCATGAAACAACAGGTTGTTCCCCTTGGCTTTGTTCATAATTTGTATCTTCCACGAGAGAGAGAGAGAGAGAAGGTTTGGGTAGAACTGTTGCTTTTGGTTAGCTAAAAGGCCTATCCCAATTGCCTAGATTGGAATACTGAGATATCTAAATGACACAGGAAATGCATGTGTACTATCCACTGTCTTCTAATGCTTTGGCACTTCGTCAACCCCAGCGAAGTCACATGAGATGCAATAAAAAACACTGGTCCTTTTGCATATGAACCCCAAAACTCCAGCAGTATTCCTTCAGCAAACTCCATTTAATGGTCTCAGGTGTTTGGAGATTCTTTTTCTTTTGTTATTATTTTTTAGAGTGTGGATGGATCAGTACTGAACTTTCACCCATATGGATAGTTAGAGAAATAACAATTCATATATATAAAAGATTTTTATTGTGCAAGGGGGACAACTAATACCTGAAATAATGCAGAATACTATGTTAGTATGAAATATTTGGCCTAGTACTCACTAGAGAAGAAAAAGAAGTCTTGCTCTACTGGCTTCTATAATATGCTTCTTTTAGGTTCACCTTCATGAGAACACTATAACATTTCATTTAGGGTGTCTATCCTACCAGAAGAGCCACAGCCACATTCTTCTGCTGCCTTCAAATGTTTGGTGGAAGATATTAAGCAACCTCAACCTCCTAATCATCTGAATCTTCCCTTTTTCATCTCATCTTTTTTGCTGTTTTTTCAGGTTGAAGTATTTGGAGCTTAATTGGAGCACAAACTAGCATGCAGTTGCTTTGTCTATGTGAAGCAATATGCCCATTTCTCTTCTCTGGGCATCAGTTATTAGAATGTTATTCGACTATATGAAGACCAAATCTCTCTGAACTCAGTATCAGTTTCTCTTATTTAGTTTTCTTTCTCCCTTCTATCATGTACTCTATAGAGACATCGTACTCTTTAAAGGCTACCGTTATTATAGGCATAAGAGGTATGCTTGCTTTGTAATATTTGGCTTATATAACCATACCGAGTTACATTATATGCATACCCGAGTGATCTGCAGGGGCACCTAATGAGGTTCCACAGCATCAAAATTTGTCTATTTGATGATAAATTACCATTAATTTGAAGGTAAAAGAAATGCTAAAACGAATATGCACAGAGCAGTGAAGCCAAGTTTCCGATGTTACAAGTATGGAGGAGACAAGAGTTTGATGAAATAGACCACAACCCAATGGCTCGAGCTTGGTAAGCCCCATCGTTACCAAGACAAGTTTTGCTGGATCCTGCTCTCACTTTTCTGCAAGTCAAGATCTCCCGATCTGAGACGGCGATTTCAAGAACTAGCGGAGCAATCCGCCTTTTCGGTAAAGAAAGGTAACTTAATCTTAATTGGCTCGACTATACTGAATTAACTGGCACTGTGTTCTTGGCTCGTTTAGGCACAAATGATCAGCAAACAGACACCAACGTCGTTCAAGCTTCACTGCTTCTTCACAAAAGATGAGACGAGGCAAACCTCAATGGGTACAAGACTTGACTTGGTTCTGATGTCTGGTAAAAGTCAAGAGGGATGGGTGATTTATGACCAGTCTTCTTCCCGTCCAAGAAGGTTCATCGCATTGGCATGAGATGCCGGCAAGCCCTCGCCCCAAGGATGAACAAATCTTGAAAAGGAACAACACAAAAGAAAGTGACTCGACGAGCGGAGTTTACAATGTGGAGGTCAAGTCATGAGCTCCTACCGGCGCAAGAAAACTTAATATATGTGGATGAAGCAGACCCTGCACACTCCGAGCAGGAACTGACACGCAGTGCAGTCAACAGGAGTCATGAACTCTACTCGGAGAAGTTAGATGAAGCCTGCTCATTTTACTGGAGAGACACTGTGTGCATTTATTAACCGCCTTGAACTAGACTAGGAGATGTGGCAGAGGGGAGGTGGGGAGAGGACACAGGAGGCCAGAAGAACCCTAATTTTCCCGGAGGGCGATCAGTAGCATGAGCTGCAGGGAGGTACCCTGCAAGGAAAGAGCCAGCTAAACTTACCGAGACCAGGAGAGGAGGAATCAAAGAGAGTCTTTTACAGAGTAGGGAATTGACTGCAGTTCCTGTTAAGGAGACGGCCCGTGATGCATGGGGTCACACCGAGCTTCACTTGGGGTACTCAATACTGATATGCGTGTATATTGGATTCGAACATTAATGTCTTAATGAAATTGCTAATTCTCACCTCTAGAAACCAGATTTTATGTCGTGTATTGGATCGGAAAAGATTTATACCCGACGAGAAAAGACAGTAGCGTAGAGTGGTTGCTTAATGTTTTGTGTCTGATGTTAATTATCTAGTAAGCATATATAGATAGCATTTTGATACATATCTTATTTCTTGTGCCTAATTATGCCCTTAAATCTTGATTGCAGATAGTGTTGGTGAACAAATGTACCGTGGCTGATGAGTCAGTACGGTTTGGTCCACGGGTTGATGTCGGGAGCCTTCTGTCGACTGAGCTGGATGACGAGGCGGTCGTGCCCTCGGGAAGGGGTGATTATCGGCGTTTGTCGATCTCCGGATCGGTTGACAGCTCTCTCTTGCGCGCCGGATGGCGATCCCTGGGTTGAAATGCTCGCGGCTCGCGGGAGGTCATTTTCCTGCAGAAATGGCCTTCGTCGAGTATTTCTCGACTTTGGCCCCTTTGACGAGCAAGTCAGTTGTAGGTTTGATTGTTTATTTTTCGCCTTCCTCTAACCGGATGCCGGCCAGGGGCTTTTATACTATTGTATGAAGGTCAATTACACGCGGGTTCGACGTGGCCGCTAACCCTCGAGGGATAGGATGACACTTCTGATGGGTCGTCGTCTCGGGACGTGCAGAATGGTGACAGACAACACCACCCCGAGCTCTCGAGACGGGACATATCGAGTAGCGTTTCGGTACGCGGATTCTGACTTGGCGTGTGACATCGGCTATGACGTGTCTTGGGCCCAAAATATGCCTTATCAGATAGTAGATTTATTTTTACGTACAAAGCTATTAAACAAATCATTTTGGTGTTTATATCTCTACGTAAGCAACCATTATGTGCATTTTATCTATTTAATTATATGTATACACACATATTTTAATAAATCGAATAAATGATTTTTGGGTTAAAATCTTTATCAAAGCTATGCCTTAGTATTTGTACTCATCACTCTTTACTAGGGAATATTATTTTATTTATACTAATATTTGATAGAAAACATACTATCTATCCGTTATCATATGAACATATACATGATGATGTAATTGGCAGGACAATTATATGTTATCTTTTTTTATTGTCTACGTGGACAATAGTTCTTACGAGCTTTTCCGAATATTTCACGAAATATTTTCTCTCATTCTATTCAAAACTATCTTTAGTATGATAATTAAGATGATATATTTTTTATTATTTTGGATTAACTTGAGCTAAGAATAGGATCGGAAAACCCACACTCAACCTCAATCATCATGCAAATCACCCTCGAAGCTTATAAGTGCTCCACCTTCGACCTCGAAAAGCTTTAGAAACACATCGAAAACACTAAATCAAGTTGATTAGGACATCACCCTAACAATCTTGAGACTAAAATACATACTAATACATAAATACCCCTAATAAACTTATAAAAATATAGAGATATTTCAAAAGAAAAATGGTTTGGAACTTTCATGATAAATTGATCAAGCTTATTCATCTTACTTCCTTTTCTTCTTCCATTTTCGATTATGCTAATCAATCACCTGTGCGTTTTATGGTCTTGAAATGCATTCTGGTGGTTCACAATAAGATAAGACGTCAAACATGGGATACGGTTCAAGATGTTGCTCTCAGTCCTCAAACACTCGCCGGAGCAAGGAGGAGAACTGCTGTTCGAGCTGGCGCTGCCGTTCTACGACGAGGAGACGCCCGGAGCTGTGTCAAAATGTGGTCCGGGCGGTCGGCCGCGGGCGGTCCGCCGAGGAAGTGAAGCACCACCGTGCCACCATGACCTGCTTGTCAAGAACATCGACCTCATCGAACAACCATAGAGTCGATCTTCCATTAGTACCTCTTCTCGACCTCCTTGTTTTGCCTCCAAATCAAGACTTCTATACAGCTCTTGCTTTGATTACCGATTCAAGGATATAAACTGACTTAAATCCAGAAAAAAAAAATCACTTTGCTAACTCATTAAGATCACATAGTCTGATGTGTCGTTCAAATGAAACCAATCATTTTGACCTGCTTCCATGGCTCCTATTCGAAGATGAATTGAGGACACATGCACCACCCCCATCAACCAATCAATTGAAGGCGCGTGGAAGAAGTACGCTCCACGTCGGACCGAAATTGTGGATTCAAGTTCATAGTGGGCCCCATTCCGTCGACCAACTCGAACTCGACAGGTAACCTTAACTCATATCGACTAGGGTTTCCTTTCGGACTAGTATAAAAGACTTGCAAATAACATGTAAAGTTATTTATGGATCATTAAATCTATGCTGAACCAATAAAATTACTCGTCAACACTAAATTATCGAGAAAAATAAACAATTCCTACTTTGTAAAAACATGGAATTGCATTAAGAACACGTTTTTAATGCAATCCTTACCTTATATTTCCCACATTCTTGAATTTGCAGGAGTGAGTGAGGAACATGAAAAAAAAATATCATACATATTTGCTGATAATTTATTATAAGGGGAAAATAAATCAGTGGAACCCATCTAAATCATACATAATAAATAACAAGTTAGCAGTCAATAGACAAAAATAACCAATAAGATATGAATAAAATTAATAAGCAAACAGCAGCCTTTGCATGCAATTTGAGGAATGGATTACTGCATATGATTCAAAATTAAGGAGAAGAAAATATTATGGTCAGACTCACAAGTGTCATGATCTCAAGCTGTTCAGTTCCATATCCGATCGAAGGCATAGATGGAAAGCAGACCATAGCCAGAATATTTCAAGTACATATACGAGCTTAATAGTGTTATCTCTTAAGCATTACTTCAATATGTGATGGTAAAATGGAACTCCACAGTGGCCAGAAAACCAGAAGCTTAAGTCAATGACAGAAATTTGATCTGTGTCCGTATGGTTTGGAAAGAAATAGAATTTTATGATTTTGCTCTCTGAGAACCATAGAAGATAATATAAAGAAAGTAAAAGCTTAAGGATTTTAATTCATAACACTCGGGTAAACAAGCAAGGCACAGAACATGAAAAGAAAAGAAATGCTGGTGGAGGAACAAGAATCGGGAACAGACGGCGGAGTTCTTGGTTGAGGTGATAGGGTTTGTCAGTCCCATCACCAGATTCCAAGGTGGCTATGTTGCCTTCCCTTCACTTTCTTCTTGCTCGACGATAATGATCCTAGCAATGATTTCAAGGAACGCAATGCACATTGGATCCTAAGGATGAAAGCATTTCATGTTACATCTCAATGATGTCTTTACCGTGCAGCCGGAAATGTTGACAACACCAGATGTGGAAGAATGGAGATGCTTTGAGAGATCAACTCTCGTATGTTGTAACCCACGTTTTAAGATCCTTTAATCATCTATTTGCGTGGGTAGCACAGCTCAAATGATCTCGAACGATCGATCAAAGCAGACTGCAAGTTGAAGAACAATGATTAAAATGCCAAAGCAGACAGTACTGGGCGATGAGGAGAAGAGCAGCGCCTCAAACCAGTAAACCAACAAGAAAACGAATCATCCGTCTCCTCGTTGTCTTCTTCTGCATCCTCTGTGAACGAAGAGCCATTGAAGGCGTGGTCTTCGCTAATGAAGTAGGGGAGACCCCGGCTGCGGTAGCTGCGATTGCTGTTGTTGTACTGCGAGTTCTTCCTGCTGCTGCCGCTTTCTAGTTACCGTGTGCTTGTTATTGTGCATCCAGACCTTCAACACCTGCCTCCTCACCCCGATCTCGGCACAGAATTGCTCGACCATTGCACTATCTTGCCTCTGAATCCTCCACCCGGCCCTCTCGGCGAAGGCCAACATCTTATCCTTCTGCTCCGCCGTGAACTTGGTCCGAAACCGCTTCCTCGGCATGGTTGCGGGCGTCGGCGCCCCCGCGTTGATCCTTTCCTCGCTCGACGACTCCGTCGTCGTGCCTCCGCTGCCGCTGGGGTTGGTATTACAGAACTGGATGAAGCCGGACGACCCAGGCACGGCAGCTGACGGGCTGCAGAAGCCGCTGAGATGGAACTGCTTCTGATGGTGGTGGGGATGGGGAGGCGGGAGCAGCACAGGCAGGCGAGTTGTGCTATGGTAGTAGGGGCCGGCAGCGTTGGTGCCGCCGTCACCATCCCTGCGGTGGAAGCTACGGTGGCAGCCGCAGGCTGCGCAATTAAATGCTTCGGGCGTGTCGGGTTCGCCACTCGGCATGAACTCCCCGCAGCCGTCCACGACGTGGCCGCCTATGGCAGCCGCGTGGTTGCGAAGGCATTCCCCGTATCTTGTAGAGATAGTAGCAGTCGCGGCGATGGTGGATGAGGTCTTGGTGGTGGCAGCGGGTTTGGTGTGGGATGACACGCCCGCAGCAACTGCACCTGGGGACGAGTTCGGGATGGAATCTTGACCTGCGTTTTTGGTAAGAGACTGGGGCGTGTGATCCATAGTTGTGGTGGTGTGTTCAAGAGTTGGTGGTGGAGCTCTGGCGTTGCCAAAAATGTTACCGTTTGCAGCTCCTCCTGCACCACCACCATCAGCACCAACTCCTCCTCCTCCTCTTGGCGAAACGAGAGAGGCAGAGGGGAGGATGGGTTTGGAGAAGGCTGATCCCCCTCTGATGAGAGAGGTGTTGTAACCAGGAGGGGAGGAAGGTATCCTGATCTCACTAGGACCCCTAAACTCCATCAATTCGACTCTGCCCACCTACAACACCGCTCTGGTACTGTCACCTCTTACACCTCGCACCCATCAGAGAAGAAGGATCAGTGGAATTCAGCAAACCAAACAAAGCAGATCGTAGCAGGACAAATATCTTGGAACAAGGGACACCGGTCCAGCTCTTCTTGCACTCACAAAAGCGAGGATGAGCGATGAGAGGGACTAAACGAGCAAGTGCAGCACTAAAAGCAGCATCACCCGGAGGCGCATGGGATGCTTTGAGTGAGACCAAAAAAGAGATAGAGGGAGAAAGGATGAGAGAGAGACAGGAAGGGACGGAGAAGAAATGGTGTAGGACATGGTTTCCTAATACCCATCCCTCCTCCTGGTCATCAGATCATGATGGGGCGAAGAGAGATGGGGGCGTCTGACGACGTGGTGATGCAATGGAAGACCAATGGAGGAGAGAAGGGTGGCTGGGGTCGCCGCAGGGAACAACCGACAGGCTCACACTTCACCCCTTCCACGCCCTGCAAACTGGTCCCTGCCCTCATAATTATTGCTGCAACCCGGTGATCACATTAATTTCTGTAGCTGTGTATCTGTGCACGTGTGTGGTCTCTGCATCGCTTGCGTCCTTACCTTAGCTGTATGCCGCTTACCACGTCCTCCTCCTCCTCACTCTGTGCCTCTTCTGCGACTCCATTGAGCTCCTCCCCCCTGTCTGCTCTCGCAATGGCATTTGAAGGGCCGGAAGGGCTACCCCATTCCTTTGTTGGTGTGTCAGAGCTCAGCACTGAAAGGGGTTGGGGTCTACCACCAGCTCTCTCGAGCCAGCTTTTACTTCGTCCCTCCTTTGGTTTCTCCTCCTCGTCACCTGCGCAAAAGCCCTCTCCCCATCTTTATTCCGTATTGCCATCTTGTCACCTGCGAACGGCCCTCCACTGCTGTCCTCAACTTGCGCAAGGCGTAGTGGAGGTGGCCTGGCTGTCCTCCGCCGAACCAACCAATGCTACTGATTCATCCATTGACATAGTGTCGCCATCCTGCTGCTTTCTATGCCCACATTAAGAGCATTTCATGATCTGTCTCCAGTCTCCACACTAGTCTTCTGTTGTTCTTGGACTTTCCCAGAACATCTAGCAAGCAAGCCCGTTGAGTTTGATCTCATGAAACACTATAATTTTGTATAGACCGAGTATCTCTGTAACATTGGGAGCACATGACATGAACACATACCACGCTATTATGCAGAGAAAAAACGATTGTTATGCGAAAAAGATCATCAAAAGCCGAAAGTGGTACAATTTTCATGTGATTTTAATCGAGCTAATCATCTCTTTGGACAACAACAACGTTTTGTATTACGATTGCGTGTTTAAATGCCTACTCCACGGAGATCGCTGAACCATGCGGCTTTGAGACAGCGAAGTGGAGGGTTGCATGAGCGACGTGTGGCATGTTTAGCCTAACCTTGTTCGTACGTGGCTTCGCAAGGGTTTCCGGTCACACCAAACAAAATGGGCTTCTTCGGCTGTCCTCTTCATCTCCACTGCGCTGCCACTGCATGAATGGAACACATAAGAATCAAAATTGTGGAAGATCCAAGTGGTGGTGAAACATAATCCAATTCTCAAAGAAATTGAGACCATTCCGCATGGGGTAAGGAGGGACCAGAACACATCCCAGTAGCTTCCCGTTGCTGCTAAAGGGAAAGCTACAAAGTTTGACTTGGGATTTGGGATCGATTAGTGTTTTCTATTGCAACTGAAGACCAATTGGAGGTGACAAGGGGGGAGGAATGACATGAGATATATTATCATGAATGACAACGTACAGGAGATGCATGCATCTAAATTGGCAAACGTGTCCCTTTAGTCGTATTATATAATGCCATAACGTTAGCTGCATTCTCCCAGCACATCAAATCGGATTACATTAATCATCCGGTTCAAGAACTGGTGGTTTAATCAAACTTATCCCATTGGTTTTACCCACAAATCTAGTGTGGATTATGCCGAGTTCCCATGGCATGGCTACAAACGCGGTGTTAATTAGCAATTTGGCTCGTACTGGCTCATGTTCTACGCGTGGAGCGACCCCAACCATTTGAATCTCAAATTTCTTTTGCCTCAAAGTTTGTGCACACGACCGATCACATCTTGGTCATCTCCTGTGGACGGATGTGATGTAATTAGTATATAGGTGCTGCTGCACTGTTGCGCACACAGGCATATGATGAAGTCGAGTGTTCTCTAATGAATGAAGCATCTCTTCACAGCCACTTCATACACAAATATTCCAGATTGATACCATCTTGCTAAAGAATTTCCAAGTGGAAGTGGACTCGTTACTTCAGCAGCTCAAGGACACCATTAGGTTTTTAGAAAGAGGAACGCTCGTCTTCTTCCTTCTTAACAATGGAGAAGGATTCCCTTGATCAGGGATTTCCTGTTGTCTTTCTCTGTTATTCTTTTTGGGAAGAGACTTGAGCAGGCCAGCTTTTGTATGATCAAGGACAGGGTACATGGTTGCCTTAGATAAAGTCCATTCCCCTGCTTTCTCTGGTCCCTCTGCCCTGTACTCTCCGGTTCTCCTCGACGGATCCAATGTGATTGCCCCTAACCGGCTTACATATCTCCGTGGCATTGCCATCGTATAGATGTCGATTTCGAGCAGTTCTGATACCATGATAATGATTTTTGAACTAAATGATCATTAAATCCAAGAAGGCATTTTGGAAGAATTATATGGCAATCTTCACTCATATGCTTTTGAGCTCTATCGGTGTTAGGCCCATGAATCCTTTGAACAAGGACAGTGAGACAATGACGCACTTCACATTATATATACCTCGAACGAGGATGGTGAGACAATGTAGAAAGAACTATGAATGTGAGCGAAGTTGATCATTTCTGGCTGACCGGAGCATGGATGAGCACAAAAAATTCCTTCAAACACCTATTGTGAACGAAGGGTCTCTCCAAGTGAATAAGGTGGCTTGGTTTTTCTATGGATTTCAAGGTGATCCGCTCTCCCAACTACTTGTAATTTACTAGTCACAGGATGTAAGTTCACAGTAGTCACAAGATTGAAGTGTTCTGATGTTTGAATGATCCCATTGAGGATTGTAAATGGAACGTCAAGGTGTGTTACGAAAAAGCGAGAACTGACGACAAGTGAACCTTTAAGAGTGGGGCTAGAAATCATGGTTGGGACTGGATTGGATCAAGGGTGAAAATATTAAGTATTGGATTGGGTTAGAATTCATTACTAACTCAAATCAAAGCCACTCCAATGGCATACCCTAGGAGAAAGGGTAGGTGTGGTGTTACTAGGGCTTATAGCTTGCCATTCTCTCCCTCATAGTAGAAGTATCCTTTGCAACCAAATCAGAAACACATTGTGAGACAAGAGAATGAGGGTGAATAGATGGATATACAGAGTCACAGGAGACAGTATATATCTAACAGGATCAAATTTGAGCTAAGATATATTAGCTTTTGATTGAGAGAGTGATTGCTGTACTTTGGAATAGCTGCATGATTTATCAGGATTGTACTCTTACAAACATCTCTAACCCGAATACTAAAAGAGTGAGAGGAAATGGTTTGAGGTTTGGAGAGGCAGTGTCCCACCACATTTAAGAGTTGACAAGGATGTACTTGTTTGGGTATGTGATGACCTCTTTAATCGAGTTTCAGAAAGGACTATAAATAAAGGTGTACACCTCCTGCTGGAGAGAAGGGCACTTGGCTTCTGGCAGCTGATCACTAACGTCTCCAACATCTCCGCCCTCTCCTTCCTGTACGTGAACATCACCTGAACACCATCAACACAGATTCCTGTGACAAGTGCAACGCAAAAAGAGAGATGCATGTATCCGTATATAGAAATACCTCGAGGAAGTCCCTGTGAAAGCAGTTTGGGAACCAGAGCTTCCTATAAGTTGACACAGACAAAAGTGCCTTGGTTCCCATGACAGACACTGGGAGGAGAGCCTCGCCAAGGACGAGACGCCGAGCCGCTTGACTGTCGTACTGCTGAGGGAATCGGTCATGGCGAACGTGGAGCCCGACACGTCAATGGAACTGACCAGGTCGGGCCAATCTCCGCTAGCTTGAACGACACCACGCCGGCGAGCGGTCCGGCACGTATACGTCGTATTGGTCCGCCAGGGATCCGACCTGGAATTGCCATGTCATGATCCCGTCCATCGCGAAGCCATGCACCAACACCACTGCAGGCTTCTTCTTCTCCTCCTCCTTCTCCCTACTGTTACAGGCACTTGCCTTCGTCGCCGTAATTCCTTTCGCCTTGGGGTCCCAGAAGTTCATGATGGTGCCGGACTCCAACTCGACGGTCTGCTGCCGTAGGCCGGCTCTCCGCGCCAGCCAGTGCAAGAGAGTCTTCTGTACTTCCACTCAGTTCATCATCTCTGCCACTATATCTTGGCCTGCTCCTTGTTAACTCCATTTAGGGTTCCGTGGTAGGAGGCTATATAGAATGGATTTTAGTTCTCCAGTGTAGTTGGGCAGGTTGCATTAAAGCCACTAATTAATGTGGGGAATGCGAATAACTTAATGATGTATGTACGATTAGCCGTTGCCGGATTCCGAGTGGTTCTTCTTCGGGCTATTTACGATTAGACAATTTTGATATCTCGATATTTAAAATTAAAAATTTTATATTAAAATTTTAATGCTTAGAAAAGTAAAATATTAAGTTTCATTTACTCTAACGATATTTGCTTTACTAATAAAAGATACACACATGATAACATATGTAAAAATAATATAAAAATAATAAAAATAATAATTTTAACATCTCGGTTATATATTTCTTTTCTTAGTCGACTATTATTGTGGTGGTAGATAATGATTTTTCTGGGAGCCATGGGTGGTTGTTGTGATTGCGATCAATGAGAATGACGCGGTGATCAACGAGAACAGTACAAGGATATCATTGGATATGGGTTCGTAGAGTCCTAGAGATGGAGTTGAGGGACTTTTGTGGCTTCTTATTGAAAGAGGAAAAAAAGGGAGAGCGACAATGATAGGTGAGGCAAAGGAAGAGAATGAAGAAAATGATCGCGCTGACACAAATACAGAGTGACATTGCTCGAAATTGCATATATGACTTTTGCTCTATATCGCCTTACATCTGTGTTTGTGTCGATGCACATGCAGAACGATGCTCATCCTTCTTCCCCCCTTCTTTGATCTTTTATCATTCTTCCCCCTTTCGCCACTCTACATTTGTGTCGGCATGAACACAAATGCAGAGCGATGTAGAGCAAAAATTGTAAATACTAACATTATGTATCTGTGTTAGCATTGTTTGATGTATGCATCGACATCGACACAGATGCAGGGTAATGCAGAGCATAAGCTACATATACTAATACTTTGCATCTGTGTTGGCGTGACCATCATCCTCATCCACTTCCTCATCTCCCATTGTCTCACATCCCGTCGTTGCTCTCCATCTTCCTCCTTTGGTGATGCTTTACATTTGTGTTAGCAAGAGATGAGGCATTTGCATGAGCATCATATCGCTCTTCATCTACATCGATGAGATGAAAAGCCTTTGCCTCACCTCTCGTCGATGCAATTGAGAGTATAACCGATGTAGATGCCTCACTTAGAATATTGAAATTACTTTTTTGCTCATCATTTTCATATCGTTTTTGTATGTGTTGTCACATGCTTATCTCCGTTGGTAAAGCCGATGGTGTCATAGTAAATAAGGTTAGATTTTTTACTTTTATAACTATAAAAATTTTAATATAAATTTTTGAAGTTTAAGGATCTCGTTAAAAATACTCGTTAACATCAAAACAAAAAATCATCTTTACAATTGATCATGTGAGATGGTTTGGATGAGATCCCATCTAA